TAGAAAGTGATCACAAGTTAAAAATAGTTGAGCTGTCAAGTGTTGACTTTGTTGCTGTTGTTAAAGTGGCAGCAAAAAGCTTTTATTTAAAAAATAAAATAAAATACAGATGGCGTCTCAGAAAGTGTTTGTGTTGTGAATCATTAATGTATCAAATAGCTGTAGAACAGGAAGTTCCTGTCCCAGCCTCCACTGTGTGATGATCATATGTAAGAGAAATGATGAAAGCTGAGCAGCGCGACTGGGACAGTATCGGTGAGGTTAATACTACTGGTTTGACTTCCAAAAAGTGTTGAAAGTTATTTCCACTGTAAGAGACAAATTTATGTTGCGAGTGGGTGATAAAATCAATTTGGTCTTTGCATGGCTGTGCTCCAGAGTGGGCTGTCATGTCCATATGATTTTATTGTCACGTACGTGTGAGACTTTGTGGTATTTTGTGCATTTTCTAACAAGAGCAACCACAGATGCATGGGTGTGTGTGTATGCATATTATCAAATAGTTTAAGTGGTAGATGCATAAAATATTCTATGATGCAGCCTAGAGCACATTTACACATTAACATTACTCCCTTTCATCGCCACATGCTGCGAACACACTTATGACCAGTTATAATGTGTGTGCTGTCAACCCGGACTGCACGATCACCAAACAGGCACAGGCTGCTCAACAAGGGCTCTCAAATGCCATACTGTTGCATCGCCCCCCCCCCCCACGCTGACAGAGAAAATGCCCAAACAACTAATAACACTTATTCAGCATACTGAATTCTGGTGTCTGGATGAATGTCTCAGGTGGGTGTTTGTGGTGAAGAAAGGTTACCAGGAGAGAGATGAGGCCATCCAGTCCTCAGTCATCACCAAGCTTAAAGGTGTCACTATGACCAACACCTCTGACTCAGGCTTTCACCTGTGGAGTGCTGAGGATTACGTCATACCCCCGAATGTGAGTCTATCTATCTATCTATCTATCTATCTATCTATCTAGATAACACTACTTAATTTAAAAAAAGGTGAACTCAGTTTGCAGAATGCTGATATTGATGTCAGAGCACTCCCCAGTTATGCTCCTGTCAAGAGATATTATGAGGCTATTGAGTGTCTGCTTTAGTGGATATCATTAGTCTCGGCATCTGTCTCAACAGATTTAACAATATCGGACTTCTTGGGAGTGTAATGTGTTTAACCTTTTGCTTCCCGATCTCCCTGTCTTGATCTAATTTTATTTTGTAGGGTGAGCAGGTGTTCTTCATAGTAACAAATTACATAGAGACCCCAAACCAGAAGCTGGGCTTATGTCCTGAGGTGAGTTTACAGAGGAAGAGGAGTCTCATTATTAGCACTTTTTAATAGTTTTCCTGTGCCAGATAATTGCATTTTTATATCCAGCTGCGTTTATTCTCCCTCACAGAGTTACAAGGTGCCAGATGGACAGTGTCAGAGCGATGATGACTGTGTGGAGGGAGAGACTGTAATAGCTGGCCATGGTGAGGATCTGTAGTCTTGTGAAAACCCCAATCCTGAATAATTTGAAAAAGTTTTAGCTTGAGTTACAGGTTTAACTATCACTTGAGATCAATCTACACAGTGTTCTATGTGATAAAAAAAAGAATAGTTGCATAAATATTTTTACAAATGTAGTCATATTGAGACAAATCTAGCAATATCTGTCACATAGTGACACGTGAATCACTAATGTCATGGTTTGGTTATGGACTATTTTCTCTAAAACATATATATATATATATAATATACCTGTTTCATCACACAACAGTAGTACATTATATATATTATACATACACAAACGTATCCCAATTTGTCCTTTTTTGAAATAAACTCTTTAAGCTGCACCTAACCAGGAATTGTTGCTCTCTCTGTCAGGAATCAAGACTGGCTTGTGTTTAAACAGCACTGGGACCTGTGAGATTCATGCCTGGTGTCCTGTTGAATACAGCAAGAGACCCACGTGAGACCCCTTCCTTCCTTGCAGAACATTGGAAATATGCCATTTTTCGCTACTACTCTGACACTCACTCTGATCCCTCACAGGGACCAAGATATTTCACAGGTTCTATTTATTACTAATACAGCCTGTCAGCTCCACTTGTTTTGTTTTTTTCACACAGCTGCCTGTCTCTTTCATTTCCAGAGAGCCCTTACTGAGTGAAGCCGAAAACTTTACCATCTACATCAAGAATTTCATCAGGTTTCCCAAATTTGAATTCTCCAAGTAAGTGGCTGTAAGTGGCGCTGACTGCTGCAGTGTGCCTATGGTTTCATGGCATGGTGACATAGTTCACAGAGTGAGCTGAGGGATATACGTGTTCCAGTGGCTGCTTGAAATAACTTTAGGGTGCAGAGAGCCGTCTATTTATAATCGCCTGTGCATTGCGCTCAGTGAGACAGTGAAACAGTCATCTGAGACGTCCTTGACAGCGGGCCTTGCCCTGGACAGGTGTCAGATCAGATGGGGGTAGCCCAGGGAGCTGTGCTGCTGCCTTCTCTGCTGTTGTCTGTTTAAGTTCTGCCGGAAAGCAGAGAGATGCCACAAGCCACAGTTAATTCATCAGTCAGGATCTTATTCTAATTACAAAGCCATCTCTCCTACGTTTCCTCACTAATCTTGCTTTGCTTATGCTTAATGGGAACTGGCTGGCAATATAAATCCCACTTAATGGGTGCTACTCGAAATGGCTGGCAACACATCTTGCAGTGTGACACATCCAGATACACCCTGTGCTCAGAGCCATAGAGTGCAATACTGTGGCCTGATTGACATACACACCCTGTATATGCCGCTGTTGGTGTGTGTGTCAGTCAGGGTTACATATAAAGTGCTGTGTATCTGCAAATTCTGTATATATAAGCTGACAGTTAAGTCAATAATAACGGTATTAAGAGACTGTAAAAGAGAGTGCAATAGATTTTAATGTTTAAACATTAATAGTGTCGGAGATTTAGATTGAAAGGTCAAAGCCAATGTGAGAAGTTGACAGAATTCTGTGACTCTTAGTTAGTAGGATCAGGTGTGTCTTCTGCTGGAGATTTTCCTCTTTTTACTTCAGTGGAAGACAAACTCAACAATACAAGATGTTCAATGTGAAACTAAAACCTGACATTGGATACATGTGTTTGATGTTTGCTGTGTTGACCTCTTAGGTCCAATGTACTTGACACCGCTAATGACAGCTACCTAAAAAAATGCTACTACGACAGAGAGACCCATCTGTACTGCCCCATCTTCCGCCTCGGGGAGCTGGTCAGCTGGACGGGAAATGACTTCCAGGAAATGGCTGTCAAGGTACAAAGTGTAATAATGTGACCTTTGGGGGGGGGGGCTTTCAGTTCCTTTATAAATTAAGAAAATTAATTTTAGCTGCTTGTGACTGCAATAATAACTGTAGAAGAACGCACCTTTGAACAATTATTCATGTAATTATACCTATTAATGACAGGGATGCGTGGGAGTGGTGTTGAAGGGATTCAGAACAGAAGCATAGAGAAACTGGAGGAGGACAAACTGACTGCAACATTCCCAGTCTAGAGGCGACATTTGTCACCCCTTTCTCCTTTTTTCTTTCTCCATCCGTTGATGACAAATAACGGAAATGTGCCATGAAATCAAAGCCATTTGATTGGCTTTATAAGGGGACAGTCTGCATGCACTGCAAAGTTTGTTTCTGTGTTTCCATGGTTTTGGGGGAAATTATCTAGTAACTAGTGGAGAGTCTTTACTGTGATGGGATCTGGAATATTGTATTAAGGCACTGAGTAGATACAGCACAACCTCTGCATACTGTATTTGATAAATAAACAATAGACCATGTAGTTTTGTTTTATTGGAAATCACAGTGGCTGTGCAAAAATGTTAAATTAATCAGTATCTTTTAGGAAAAAAAAGTGGTAGAAATAGAAAATAAAACACTTCTGTCATATGAATACAACAAAAGTCCATCTGCTGATTAAGCCGATGAGAGTTGGCTGGAAGCTCTGAAAAAACTAAGAGCGCAATGGTTATCTTAATGGCAGGTGGACTAACACACCCATAGTCCACCTACACAGGAGTTTAGGTCACTGTGTTGCATGATTAGACCTCTTCTGTATGTTTGTGCAGATTGACCGTTCCCTCACTCTTGTTTTATTTTGTTGTATCTGTTAGTTTACGTCACAGACTTTTTTCACTGAGAACCTTTGACACGTCACAGTGCGAAAAGGTGTAAATAATAAAATGAATGATGACTGAATTCCATGTATCTGCTTCAGTGTCAGGGTCCTGGTATTGTACATGCTGACTCACTGCCATGGCTTACTGGGCAGTTGGTGACTTTTATAAAAACAACTGTTTGTCATATTTGCAGATTTTTTTCTATATCCTTTACATGAGACAGATAATATGTGAAAAAAACTGGTTCTGGCACTCCTTATGGCATTTGAATCCACCGGGCCTGAACAAAAACAACCAATCAGAGCCAAGGAAGATATAAAAAACGCTTTGGATTGGTGGCTTGAAGATAGTTGATTGTATATACTCAGGGTCCCAACTCAACAATCAACTATCTTTCTTGGCTCTGACTGGTTGTTTTCTTCCAGGCCCATTCTTGCAGATGTCATTAGGAGCCAGAGGAACCAGATTTTTTCACAGATTATCTCTCATGTACTACTGTCAGAATATTAAAAAATGAAAGTTTCAGCAAATATGAAGTTATCTTTTTATAAAGGTTACCTACTGCAGCTTTAATAGAACAGAGCCAGCATTAATGTTATTAGTAACACCTGTGCTTCTCCTACTTTGACGAGTCAAATTGTATGTTGTGAAAATAATGCTTATTGTTATTAGAATATTAGTTCATGTAGTTTGGTGACATCACATATTTCCCAGCATAGCGCCACCCACCTTCGATCAGCCAGCAAAAAAAACACCTGTGTGTGTGTGTGTGCTAGGACATAAAGTAGAGTTTACAATCTAAAGCAAACAAACATGATCAATATAACCAAGAGCTGCAGTAATATGTGTGAGGCTTCACTAATATTAACAAAGTGTCTGTTTTTGTCCATCAGGGTGGGTCTGTCGGTATTCTAATCGAGTGGAACTGTGACCTGGATAAGGACTCTTCACAGTGTAATCCAGAGTACAGCTTTACCCGTTTAGACATGAACTTGAACAACTCGGTCACATCAGGATACAACTTCAGGTATGTCCTCTGAGGTGTTTAACAAGGAATAGATCAGTCAGTGCACTGCCTCCACTCTGTTTTACACCTTATATGAACTGATTTTCCTCCTACAGATATACAAGGTATTACAAGGATCAAAAGGGTGAGACCTATCGCACTTTGTTTAAAGTTTATGGGATTCGCTTCGATATAATGATCAATGGCCAGGTACAGCAGTGATATGAGCATTTGTTTTCTAAGGGAAGTACATGCTGCGGTAAAAGACCTGCACTGAATGCTTGTTATTGTTTTGCAGGCTGGGAAATTCAATATTGTTCCCACAATAATTGCCATTGGTTCGGGTGTTGCCCTGCTGGGTGCAGTGAGTAATTTATTAAAGTATTATGTTAATTTGTCGGTGGATAATTGGTTATTACTGAGATGCCTTAAAGTGCAATTTCGAAGATAAATGTCTGTTAAGTCTATCTATTGCAGAAGACACACAATGGTGATTGGGCCCATGGTCTGATGAAAGTATTACAATATTTATATTTTTCAGTATTACAAACTGGGTGTCTGTGGCAACATGCTGTATTACAGTTGTTGTGTGTTGTATACACACAAAAAATGGAACTGTGTACAATTCTGTAAAGGTCCTGTATCAGCTGTTAAAACGTTAAGCTCCATTGTTTTCACTCCAACAGAAATTCTAAATCAGATTTACACGTTTAAAGAATGTCACCACAGACCCCCAGTTCGTAATACTGCAAATATATAAATATTGCAATACTTTCAACACTGGACCAAAGGTTTAATCACCACTGTGTTACTGTCACTGTGTTAACATTTTCTAGATTGCCTTTGTAAGCTTGAAAGTTGTAATATTTACAGTGCCACTAGAGGATGATGGATGATAACCAGTAACATTAAAATACTGATTCTTTGCACATGTGAATATCCAGTTGATATTTTCTTTCTTTCAGGGAGCCTTTGCATGTGATATGATACTACTATACATGATGAACACGAGCTCCTTCTACCGAGAGAGGAAGTTTGAAATCATCAACTTCAAGTATGACTGTATTCACACAACTGTCATGATGGGGCTTTTTTCCAAACCTCAATCATCACATTTACTGACTCGTCTCTCTCACACACCATGTAACAGGAAAGACCGGACCAAACCCAAGGATGGGAAGGCAGGACACCGGGAAAGGAGATCCAAGAAACCAGCTGCAGAGAAAGGGGACGCCAACTCCACCAAAAATCCAGAGGAAACTGAAGCCAATGTGGGATCTTCTTCCACCGCAGAGAGCCAGCTGCCTGTGGACAGTCGAGGTCCCACCATTCCACGCAACGCAGGACAGCGATACTCTGCCATTCTCTCTACCCAAGGTGCAGAGCCAAGGCATCATATCACTTTTGCTTCACACAATTAAGTTTTTAAGCAGAGCAAGACAGATCACCTGCTGTGGGCTCGTTTATGTTGCAAGAGGTGGAACCAAAGGTCAGACTGATGTCCACTTCTCACCTACTGGCACGACTGCTGGCATGCCACTAGCCTGAGTGATGTTTTCCCTGACGGAAGAGATGTTGGTCCACACCGACGCTGCTGTAGGAATTCACAGAAAGGTTCAGTGGCTGGGTCAGGATCCAGAGGTGGGATGTGGGAGGTTACAACAGGTCCATAAATAAGGATAAGCCAAAGTACTGTGATAATGCTGATGCAATTAGCAGAGTGACATAAAATTATTCATGTAAGACTTTAAGTGAATTACCGAATGTTTGCTAATTACTGCTTTACAAATGCAAAGAATTCATTGTCTTTGTTTCATGTCATAAATTTATATTTTCTAGCTTTTTTTGGCTGTTGATCAGACTAATGAAGCATAATTTATAGTTTGAGTAATACATGATGGGCCTTAGTTTTTGTTTTTTTTCTTCTCCATTTTATGGATAAAATTTTGAAAATTCCAGCAAAAAGTCTGACATGATAGATTCACTGACAATGAAAATTGCAGCCCTACATTTTATGCCAAATTTTCACCATGGACCTTAAATATAAGCTTGGATTAGGTCAAATAAACACTGTAAAACAATCTGCAACAGACCTTACAAATTCAATGTCGGTCATGAGAGAGATGATTTTGTAAGCGTGGATTCTAAAAGGGAAAAATACTGTACTTGGAAACAATATGGAAGAAAATGTGTGAATGGTCTTAACTGTTAGTATTTTGGTTGGATGCATCATGTACCTGTGTAGTGACTCTATTAGTTAGACACCACTGATGTGTTTCATGCTATATGCTGAGTTGGCTGTGCTGGTTGTGATGCTTATATCGGCCACGCGATGACTACAACACAATCTTACTCAGAGTAGAATGTATTTGTGTCTGTTAATGAACGGTGCATGGACTCCTTCCTCCCTCCTATATTTATTTATTGAATGGTCTTCACTGTTGGAAACATATGTACTTGTCATATCGATTTCATGATGTCAACAGATGACACTGCCTGAGAGACAAACTGATTAATAATGTATACAAGCAAGCTGTACAGACGTATTTATTTCAATCAGATTTAGTTATCATTTAAACACAGTATTGTACATGCAATGTAATGCAAAGTGCTTACAACTTGTCTGGATGTAATCCGTTCCGATCTATGTTACACTACAACCTTCATCATCACAACTGCTCCTGGTACGGGCGACGCCAAGCACAGAGCAGGAGTTACAGGTTAAATAAGTTCATAGTCACTGCTAAGTGTGGAGCACGGAGGATAAGAGGACATTTTACTCTGCATACTATTATTATTGACAAATAATCTGTTAAATCAACAGTTCATAATGTAAAAATCCAAAGTCGTTCACTAATGGCTTATCTACAAACAGCAGGACAGACAATGTTATTGGTTTACGTAGTATTAGATAGGATAAATTCAGGGTTATTTGTGGTAGATCATTTTAGTACACATGCACCATCCCGTAAAGGAAAGTCCAGAACAGGACGTAGGTGAAAAGACCTCCGACAAGGCCCCCGGTGAAGAGCAGCCGCCGCGACTTAAAGCATTTGTTCCACCGCCGTCCCGCCTTGAGAATGAGCAGCAGGGAGAGCAGAAATGCAGAGAGGAAATAAAAAATAAAGCCATACAGTCCAGTCAGCCCCAGGATGCCAGCTGTTGCTCCGGACAGGGCGGATACAGAGGTGCGGCAGTAGTCCAGCACGGCGGCGTTGCCCCTCACGGCTACTTCACTGATGAACTGTGGTCCCTCACGCTTGGCTACAACTCCTGCCATCTCGGCTCTGGTCAGCTATCACAGGGTAGGTGCTGCTGTTTCAGGAGAGAGTCAGACGTGTTTACAATACACAACAGCTACAGTTACTCAAATACTGTAGATAAGTAAGGTTATGAGACAGTTTTAAGCTACTGTAAACTTCTACATCACTCAATTAGGAGGCAAATGTTGAACTTTTTACTCCACAGCATTTATTTCACAGCTATGGAAACTAGTTACTCTGCAGTTGAATATTTTATGTGCAGACAATAAAATGTAATGGATTGTTACATATTGAACAACCTAGTTAAAATCAAGCCAACCAGCTACATCAAAAAAGGCAGCGTACACATTACTGTATCAATAATAACAATGCAATAAAATATGATGACACTGACAGGTGGCATAATTAATACTTTTGCTGTTAATATTGACATTTGGTGATCAAGTATTACACTTCAGTATGATTTTGAAGTATTTGAGTATTTTTGTCTTTATGCTTATTCAACTACTGGTAAGCAATGCCATTTAAGTTATATCATTATAAAAGCTATATAAGACCGCTGTTATACCGATATCTGTGACCCGTCCTGATGGTC